CGCCGAGACAGAGTCTGGCACTGTAGCCTGGACTGAAGTGCAATGGTGCCATCTCGGCTCACTGCAACCTCCCCCTCCCAGGTTCAAGCGATTCTCTTTGCCTCAGCCTCCCAGGTAGCTGGGATTACAGGCGCCCGCCACCAGGCCCGGCTAATTTTTTTTGTGTTTTTAGTAGAGACAGGGTTTCACCATGTTGGCCAAGCTGGTCTCGAACTCCTGACCTCAGGTGATCCACCCGCCTCGGCATCCCAAAGTGCGGGGATTACAGGCGTGAGCCACCGTGCCCGGCCTCCCTGAATCCCTTCTTAAAGGAATTGTGGCCTTCAGGAATCAGAAGACACCCGAGGTCCCTTCCCAGTCCCAGGAAGTAAAGAGAGTCTGGGCTGTCTCTGATCACCTCCGCAAACGGAGGATCTAATACATCTACCTGACCCTGTCTGGGCCAAGCTCCTTGAAGCTGTCACAGCACTGGCTGTCAGGAGAGCCTTCTGGGCAGTGACTCCAGCAGAACCATGTCCAGGACTTCATCCGTGGGACAAAAAGAATGGAAGTAGCCACCAACATGAATGACCAGCTCATTGCATGTTGAGGTGCGGGGAGATGGGGGTACAACACTGTCAACTCAGGATTTGAGTTTAGAAAGACTACAGGCCCCGAAATGCAATTTCACCTGCCAAAAACTACCATTCCCAACATGCAATGCAACCTGGGAGAGCCAAGGAAAAAAACCTTGCAAGCGTGGCTGCAAAGTTTGCCCCTCTTGTTACCCTCAGGCAAAAGAATGATTTCGAAAGGCCCAAGGGCTATTTTTTGCAGGAGCGGTCACTCCCTAAATCCAGGCAAGGAAAGGGAGGAGTCGGAGCCGAGTCACGCCCCTTTCCCTGTAAACTCAGGTCGCCCCTAGCTTAACACGCTGGAGTCTGAAGAGCGGACAGTAGCCGCACACCCCAAACTTTCCCCATGGGTTCGGTTACCAGAGCCGTGTTTGGAGAGCTGCCCTCGGGAGGAGGGACAGTGGAGAAGTTCCGGCTGCAGTCTGACCTCCTGAGAGTGGACATCATCTCCTGGGGCTGCACAATCACAGCCATAGAGGTCAAAGACAGGCAGGGGAGAGCCTCAGACGTGGTGCTTGGCTTCGCCGACCTGGAAGGTGGGTTGAACTCTGCCCCGGGCTGCGAGCCGGCCCCCGGCTGCAAACCTCCCGGATCGATTGGGCCACTTGCAATGCGAGGGGCTGAGGGGAAAGTCGCCGTCTAACTTGGGAGCGCGTGCATCATGCTAACAGAGGGCTGTGTGGCCATCCGACGTTGGGAAAAACCGTAATGGATGGAAAAAGCTATAGGAGTTGGCCTCTGGTTATCTGTTCAGGCTTTGCCCCAATTAATGTAAAAAGTCAGCTGATGGTAAGATACACTTCAGCGATCCTGGAGCAACCGCTGAACTGCCTGATCTTTGAACTGCCTGACTCATTGAGAAGGCTGGAGAGGAAAGAGCAGGCAGGAGGGGGTGTGGCTCCCAGTTCTTCCCTTGTGCGCCTTCTGAAGAAGGAAATTCAAAGACTTGCCTCTTCTACTTCCTTCTTCCTTGATCAGATTCTCTTTGGGGCCTGGTTATCTCAGAAATGCTCCAGTAAGCTCTGTGGTTGCCTAGTACACCAGCTACCCAATAACCATTTAGGAAACAAAACGGAGAAGACCAAATCAGTGTCTAGAGATCAGGTCTCCTACCAACTAGGATGGTCTTTTATCCCAGAAACCATAGGCAATTAGAATTAGGCATTAACTCATACATTTGAAAACTATTAATTCAATGACCTCATCTAACAGGACAGACAAGGTCCCCACTTTTGGGGTTTGCCTGGGGAGATAGACTTTAACCCAATAATTGCATAAATAAATAATGACAATTGCAGCTTGATTGCAACAAAGGAAAATGTACGTCATGCTCTCTTAGCATTATGGTGTAACTAGATAGAAAATGAGGTGTGAAATAAAGCTGGTAAAGGGAAACTGAGAATTAATACCTCTGTTCAGTGGTTGGGTGTAGACAAATTCTGTTGGAGAGGAGGTCTGAGGTTTTCCTTTTAGTGTGTCATTCTGTCTGTTTGGTTCTTTAGATACAAAACTTGGCTCATCGTTTGGGGTTCAACAAAAAACTCTTGAGTTTTGGTTTTTTCCCTTAGAAATCTGAAATTTGTTCTCTTTTTTTCTTTTTTTTTTTTTTGACAGAGTCTCACTCTGTTGCCAGGCTGGAGTGCAGTGGCATGATCTTGGCTCACTGCAACCTCTGCCTCCCAGGTTCAAGCTATTCTCCTGCCTCAACCTCCCGAGTAGCTGGGACTACAGGCATGTACCACCACGCCCAGCTAATTTTTTGTATTTAGTAGAGATGGGTTTTCACCATGTTGGCCAGAATGGTCTTGACTGCTGACCTTGTGATCCATCTGCCTTAGTCTCCCAAAGTGCTGGGGGATTACATATGTGAGCCACCGCACCTGGCTTTTTTTTTTTCTTTTTTTTTTTTTAAGTGCAGTGGTGCAATCTTGGGTCACTGCAACCTCTGCCTCCTGGGTTCGAGTGATTCTCCTGTCTCAGCCTCCTGACTAGTTGGGATTACAGGCACATGCCACCAGGCCCAGCTAATTTTTTTGTGTTTTTAGTAAAGACAGGGTTTCACCATGTTGGCCAGGCTGGTCTCAAACTCCTGACTTCAGGTGATCTGCCCAGCTTGGCCTCTCAAAGTGCTGGAATTACAGGCATGAGCCACTGTGCCTGGCCTGTTCTCTGCTTATTTAACAAAATTTATTATAAGTATATTCCTGAGCATCTTATTCTTGGCTTATAATTGTCTTTATCTGCTTTGGTGCCTCTACAGCTTAACTTGGAGGAAGAGGAGGCAGCCTTCTTTCCGAAGCAGAAGGTCGTTGGTTACTTATGTGAGTCTGTTGCAGGAGACTTACTGGTAGGAAGGTGCAGGCAGGTGGGGGAAATAAGCTCCACCTCCCCTTCCTTTCTACCTCCCCCAAAACTTCTAGGGAAGACATCTTCAGAGTCAGAAGGCAAGAGCGGTGGCAAGTGACAAAAGAGGATCCTTTGGAATCATTTCGCTGAGTCCTCTCTCTTCTAGTAGCATAACCATTGTCTAGGCCAACACAGAATTGCAGACATTGCTTGACTCATGCAAAACCACTCCGTAGAGTCAAATGAGTATTTTATTTCTGGCCTACAATTCCAGAGCCAGTTAAAGTTATTGGAGATGGGCCGTCCTCTCATTTCTCCATCAACCAGGATGTTGGTGTTGAGGTTGAATAAATACCTATCGAGGACTTGAGGACAATAACTACCATGGCTTCTGGTGCCTTTTTTTTTTTGAGACAGAGTCTTGCTCTGTCGGCCAGGCTGGAGTGCAGTGGTGCGATCTTGGCTCACTGCAACCTCCGCCTCCCGGGTTCAAGTGATTCTCCTGCCACAGCCTCCTGAGTAGCTGGGATTACAGGTGTGCACCGCCACACTTGGCTAATTTTTTTTGTATTTTTAGTTGAGATGGGGTTTCGGCATGTTGGCTAGGTTGGTGGCTGGCATCTGTAATGCCAGCTACTTGGGAGGCTGAGGCAGGAGACTTGCTTGAACCCAGGAGGCGGAGATTGCAGTGAGCTGTTAGGGCACCACTGCACTCCAGCATGGGTGACAGAGTGAGACTCTGTCTCAAAAAAAAATAAAAAATAAATAAAAATACACTCTAACCTTTCTGTGTAACAGCTGACCATAAAGAAATTAAGACCCTCATTCCAAAGGGGTCCTGCCCCATACCCAGGAGGAAGGAATGCTGCATGGGGAGGCCAAGAAAAATCTGAACACAGGCCTTGCTGAGTTTCCCCGCTCACTCTGTCAGCAACAGATCTTACCCATTTTGACCAATCATATTTCTACATGGCTGTTTATACTCCATTGGACTTAAGCATAAAAATGGATTGTTTTCTCTGTATCTGTGGGTCTTCATTCTGAAAGCTTCTGTGTCACATCAAACTATAATGAAATAAATTTGTTTGGCATTTTTAAAATTTTATTTTTTAGAGGTGGAGTCTCACTCAGTCACCCAGGCTGGAGCGCAGTGGTGCAATTATAGCTCACTTGCAGCCTCGAACTACTGAACTCAAGCAATCCTCCTACTTCGGCCTCCTAAAGTGCTGGGATTACAGACATGAGCCACTGTGCCCAGCTGTTTTGCTTTTCTCTTGTTAACCTGTGTTTGTCGTAAAGGTATGGGCTGTGACCCTTACAGTGGAGATATACAGCACTCTGTTAACTATTTTAATGGTGCTCTGATACTACATTTCCGGTGCATTAAAACTCATGTTAACAAGAAACTGGTGGCAGTGGTTGTTAAGAAAGGATCCTGGGTACCCAGGGTGCGGGGGACAGGAAGGAGACTTAATTTTCACTGTATATTCTTTTAAAACATCAGAGTATGTAAGTATTTATAAACAAACAGAAGCAAAAAATGTAAAGTAACAAGACGTGACAGAGGCCTGCATGGTGGCTCATACTTACAATCCTAGCACTGTGGGAGTCCAAAGCAGGAGGATCACTTGAAGCCAGAAGTGTGAGACCAGCCTGGGCAACATGGTGAGAGCCTGTCTCTACAAAACAAACAAAATTAAATTTAAATTAAAAAAAATTTTTTTTAAAGACTTGACAGAATAAGGGGTTATCTTGATATTACCATGTCCCAAAAATGGCTTTGAGCCATGGGGAAGATCCAAGCCTGGATAATTCCATGAGACATGATCCTTTTGTAACTGCAGAGTTAGATATGAGCAATCTCCAATTTCCCAGACAGGTTATATAAACTGCTTGGATGACAGCCATAACCAGAGGTCAGAATGGTTCAGATCCTCCCTGGGAAAATGAGATTTTTTTCTTCCATAGAATTCTAAAGAGGAAAATTATGTGAATTTTTAGTTACAGCCTGGAAAAAATCAGTAACGCCTCCTATGAGTTTTTCTACCGCTTTTTGTATTTAATACTTTCTTGTTGTTTAGTGCAATGGTGCAATCTTTGCTCGCTGCAACCTCTACATCCTGAGTTCAAGCAATTCTCATGCCTCAGCCTCCCGAGTAGCTGGAATTACAGGTGGGCACCACCACACCCAGCTAATTTTTGTCGTTTTAGTAGAGATGGGGTTTCAACATGTTGACCAGGCTGGTCTCAATCTCCTGACCTCAAGTGATCTGCCTCAGCCTCAGCCTCCCAAAGTGCTGGGATTACACGTATGAGCCACCAGGCCCAGCCTAAAAATGTTTTTCATTGGCATGTCCCACCTACAGTCATTATGATTTCTTTCAAAGCCTGTGCTGAGAATATTTGCTTATATGCCACAGGTATAAACAACCTACCCATACAATCATTGAAACGCCTTCCTTTTCATGTTTCCCTCAGTTACCACCAAAGACCTGGCTATTAACTGCCATGAGAGGCATTAAGGAAAAAATAGAAAAAGTAAATTTAGTGCCTTTAGAAAACCTGGGTTCAGAAGAGAGGATGAGGAAAAAAAAAAGGATCAGGTTAGAGGCTGCATCCTGGTGGGAACACTGAGGATTACTGGTTTAAAGCGCTGCTTCCTTCCTTAACCCTGGGTAATTTATTTAACCTCTCCAGACCGATTTCCTCACACGAAACAAATGGATTGTGATGATGTAGTGAACTGTGGGCTGTGATATGTGTCTGACCGTATGTGACCACATATTTTATATGCCTCTGACCAGAGTGAGCAATTAATCATTTTTATCCCCCTTTCTTTCCTTTGCCCCCAAATACCATCTCTCACTCTACTAGAACTTTCCATTTCACTTCATTAACACTGCAAAAAATGGCATGGAGATTCACCTAGGACAGCAAGCAGCAGCTAAAAAGTATATAAATTATCTGAAACTACTAAAGTGCTTATTAATTAAATTGTTTTCTTCATATAGCCAAAGGATAAGTCATTCTGTGGATGGAGGTTTTGATTGAGAGTCGTAATTTTATTTCAGACTTTAGTGCACTCTGGCTAAGGTTTGGGCTGTCTGAGGTGACTGTCACAGTTGGGGTCCTTCGGATGTTAGAGTGGAAAGGGCCATATCCCATGGTCTTAAGCATTCATTTATTCTCGCCAGTGCCTTGCCCTGGAAAAGTACAAGTGTTTCCTCTACTCCCAGCTCAGCAATTGACTTGGTTAAATCAACATTCATGGCTTGACCTAGGAACTTTGAACATTTTCATGGCAAATGGGCGTTTTCTGCATTTCAAAACAAATTTTTAGCCATGCCTTATTTGGGATTTGGGAATTGTCACTTTTTGTAATTCTGATTTGATGTGAAAGCTTAGTTATGGTATTAGTCCATTTTCACACTGTTATAAAAACTGCCTGAGGCATAGTAATCTATAAAGAAAATAGGTTTAACAGACTCACAGTTTCTCATGAGTGGGGAGGCCTCAGGAAACTTACAATCATGGCAGAAGGCAAGGCAGGAACAAGACAGGTCTTGCTACACGGCAGTAGGAGAGAGAGAGAAAGCAGGGGAAATTGCCACATTTAAACCGTCAGATCTTGTGAGAACTCACTGACTATCATGAGAACAGCATGGGGGAACCGCCCCATGATCCAGTTACCTCCACCAGGTGGGGGCACAAAGCCAAACCATATCAGTAACATTTGAACGTAGTATAAAATTTATTTGTTCTAAAGGGTTTTTCAGAGACAGAATTAGTGGTTTCTGTTGTGCTTAGACTTTAATTCTTAAAAACTATTCCTCCAGGGGCACAGTGGCTCACTCCTGTAATCACAGCACTTTGAGAGGCCGAGGTGGGAGGATCACTTGAGCTCAGGAATTCAAGACCAGCCTGGCCAACTTAGGGACACTCTGTCTCTAGAAGAAATATAAAAATTATCCAGGTGTGGCGGCACATGCCTGTAGTTCCAGTTATTTGGGAGGCTGAGGTGGGAGGATCACCTGAGACTGGAGGCCAAGGCTGCAATGAGCCATGATGGTACCACTGCACTCCAGCCTAGGTGACAGAGAACAACCCTGTCTCCAAAAAAAAAAAAAAACAACAAAACAAAACAAAACACCTGATAATTATGGGAGAAAAACAAAACAAAACAAAACACCTATTCCTCCAAACCAAGGTACTGGTCTGGTCACTTGTAAGGGAACTCTTGCAAGCCCATGTGGTAGGAAACCTACTGGTGGCTTTGTGGCTGTCTCCAACACCCAGTATGCCTCTGGCAGAGAGCGGAAGCTCAGTGTTCATTTGTTGAATGAATCAAAGTAGGTCTCAAAAATCTCTACAGTCAAACATCTTGTTTTTTAGAAAAAACAAGAAGCGTTTCTTTACATTTTTGAGCTTCTGAAAGCAGATGAAACAAAACAAAGAAATATCGTTTGGCTCTTCGGGACTCCTTTTGGTTAAACAGTGTATGCGGTTTTAAAGCTAGTTTTGGAAAGAGAAGAGAGTGGGGAGAGGTAGAGAAAGATCAGCCTGGCCTGTGCCTGGGATGGAGTTAAGGTCAACAACCAAAAAGCCTTTGCTTTCTACATAATTTGATATTGAAGAACATGGACTCACCAGCTGTACTGGCAGGGCTAAAGTCTTGGTTCTGCCCCTACTTAGCTGTGTGTTTTGGGGAAGTTACTTAACTCCCGTGTCCTCAGTTTCCACATCTGTAAAATGGGATACTAATAGTATCTACATCATAGAAACGTTCTGAATATGAAATGAGGGAGATGGAGAACACTTAGAAAGTGGCTGGGACACACTTTGGGAGGCTAAGGTGGGTGGATCTCCTGAGGTCAGGAGTTCAAGACCAGCCTGACCAATGTGGTGAAACCCCATCTCTATTAAAAATACAAAAAAAAAAAAAAAAATTAGCTAGACGTGGTGGCGGGTGCCTGTAATCTCTCAGGAGGCCAAGGCGGGAGAATCGCTTGAACCCAGGAGGCAGAGGTTGCCGTGAGTCAAGATTGTGCCACTGCACTCCAGGCTAGACTACACCATCTCAAAAAGAAAAAAAAAAAAAAGCACTTCGGAAAGTGCTTTCTAAGCACTCAGTAGGTGTTAGCTATTATGATAGTCCATGGAGGCCGGGCGCGGTGGCTCAAGCCTGTAATCCCAGCACTTTGGGAGGCCGAGGCGGGTGGATCACGAGGTCAAGAGATCAAGACCATCCTGGTCAACATGGTGAAACCCCGTCTCTACTAAAAATACAAAAAAATTAGCTGGGCATGGTGGCGCATGCCTGTAATCCCAGCTACTGAGGAGGCTGAGGCAGGAGAATTGCCTGAACCCAGGAGGCGGAGGTTGCGATGAGCCGAGATCGTGCCATTGCACTCCAGCCTGGGTAACAAGAGTGAAACTCTGTCTCAAAAAAAAAAAAAAAAAAAAAAAAATGATAGTCCATGGGCAGGACTCTGACGCACCTGCAGATTAGCAAAGAAGCAAACCAGGAAAGGCCTGGAAGGGAAGGATTAATGTTTAATTTGTATCCAACCAGTTGGGTAATGGAAACCTGTGACCTGTTGCTAGCCTAGTCAGCTCAGGATCTGTATCCTGAGGGCCCCTCTGTCCTGTGGAAAAATAGTTCAAATGCTTGAATTGCATTCTCTGCTGATCTGAAGTAGACATGACAGATACGGAGTACCATGGGAAAAGAGAATGGAATTCAGAGGGCGTCTAAGTGGAAAATAGAGTAGAAAGTAATCTTAGTGATGATACAGAAAACAGTCTCCAAACCTTAATCTTTTCCATTGCAAACTAAGCACAGAGGAATTTAAAGACAAGGAAAATACCATAATATGCCCACACACAAAGTTGTAAGTATGAGGAAGCTATGTTGCTTTTTTATAGCCCCTCCCCTAAAAAGGCCCAAAACAGTTTATGCTGATTATTATACCACACAGCCATCACAAGGAATATGGGGCCAGACATGGTGGCTCATGCCAGTCAGTAATCCCAACACTATGGGAGGCCAAGGTGGGAGGACCACTTGAACCCAGGAGTTCAAAACCAGACTAGGCAACACAGGGAAACTCTGTCTTTACAAAATAAAAAGTAAAAAAAGTTAGCCAGACCTGTTGTCCCAGCTACTCCAGAGGCTGAGGTGGGAGGATCATTTGCGCCTGGGAGGTCAAGGCTACAGTGAGCTATGATGGCGCCACAGCACTCCAGCCTGGGCGACAGTGAGATCCTATCTAAAAGAATAAAAAGGAATATGGTAGCTGGGCGCAGTGGCTCACGCCTGTAATCCCAGCACTTTGGGAAGCCGAGGTGGGCGGATCACGAGGTCAAGAGATCGAGACCATCCTGGCCAACATGGGGAAACCCCGTCTCTACTAAAAATACAAAAATTAGCTGGGCGTGGTGGCACACACCTGTGGTCCCAGCTACTCGGGAGGCTGAGACAGAAGAATTGCTTGAACCCAGGAGATGGAGATTGCAGTGAGCCAAGTTTGCAACATTGCACTCCAGCCTGGCGACAGAGCAAGACTCCGTCTCAAAAAAAAAAAAAAAAAAAAAGGAATATGGTAGATATGTCATGACATGGAGAGATCTTAAGATATTTGATAAATGGAAAGTTACAGAACAATGTATGATTATAGTGTGATGCTCTATGTAGTATGATTCTCTTTATATAGAATATGTGTGCTTGCGTATTTGAATATTTGCTTATATGTAGTTAATTCAAATTTAAGAATGAAGTGTATGTACCAGACTGTGAATAGTGGGAATAGTGATTACCATTGGAAAGGAGGGGAGTGGAGAGGTGAAGGAAGGCTTTTGTGTTTTACTTTTTGTTTAGGTTGCTAGATTTCACAAATAAAAGTACAGGATGCCTGGTTAAATGTGAATTTCAGATAAACAATTTATACTTTTAAAGTATAATAAGTATGTCCCATGTATAACAATAACATGAACATACTTATACTAAGCAATTATTTATTGTTTATCTGAAACTCACATTTAACCAAGCATTCTGTACTTCCTCTGCTGAGCTTACTCTATGTCCTTGTGTATTACCTAACTCTCTCTAAAGGATATTTTAATGTGCTAATTATGTTTTTAAAAAAAATAAGAAGAGAAAGAAGAATAAGATAGTTTTCCTTCAAGACCACACAAAATTATAATTCTGGCCTAGAGAAAAGGACATTACAAAACTGTTATACACTAGGCCCCCTTCATCCATAGTTTTGCTTCCTGCAGTTTCAGTTACCCAGAATCAATGTTGGACTGAAAATAGGTGCATACAGTACAATAAGATGTTTTGAAAGAGAGAGAGAAGGCTGGGCACGGTGGCTTAAGCCTGTAACCCCAGCACTTTGGGAGGCCAAGGAGGGCAGATCACCTGAGATCAGGAGTTCGGGACCAGCCTGGCCAACATGGTGAAACCCCATTTCTACTAAAAATGCAAAAATTAGCTGGGCATGGTGGCATGAGTCTGTAATCCCAGCTACTCGGGAGGCTGAGGCAGGAGAATCGCTTGAACCTGGGAGGTGGAGGTTGCAGTGAGCCAAGATTGCGCTATTGCACTCCAGCCTGGGCAACAAAGCAAGACTCCATCTCAAAAAAAAAGAATATTAACAGTGGTTCTCTGTAGTGGTGAGATGAAGATGAAGGGTAATTTCAGTTTTTTCTTTGTGCTGTGTAAAATTCTTTGCAATTCTGTGTAATGAACATTAATTACTTTTGGAAAAGGAAAGGGTCATATGTAGTGAGAACCATTTTCTGTGATTTGGTGAGGACTCTGACATGCCCAAGATGTACCATGTGTAGCATCCCTCAGAAGATGGTGGGGGCAGTGGCATGTGACACACCTTTGGATTGAAGTTTTAGAAGTGTTGTCATCCCTTGTCCTTGCAGGATACCTCCAAAAGCAGCCATACTTTGGAGCAGTTGTTGGGAGGGTGGCCAACCGAATCGCCAAAGGAACCTTCAAGGTGGATGGGAAGGAGTATCACCTGGCCCTTAACAAGGAACCCAACAGCCTGCATGGAGGAGTCAGAGGGTTTGATAAGGTGAGTCCGGTGCATGTGACTGCGTTTCCTTCACGCTCACTTGACGCATGCCTTCTGCTTTCCAGGCACAGTCCTAGGCCCTAGAGCACATGCGTGGTCAGGAGATGCAGGAAAGAGGCTGCTCCTGTGGTTTAGGGCAGCAGGTGCAATGGCCACATGCCAGGACCCATTCTTCTCTAGCTCCTCTTTTGTAACAAATAGGGGAGCCCCAAGAGAAAGGATGTCTGCCCTTCACTTAGAAAAACAAGAAACAACTTTTTCATAGTGTTGAGATCACAGAGTTGAGTTGAAGAGATGTGGATTGATAACAGCATCTTCCAGTTATTGCACAAGACATTGACATATATTATCTCTTACCCTTACTAAATGGAAAAACCGAGGCACTAAAGTCCACGTGGCCAGGCACGGTGGCTCACGCCTGTAATCCCAGCACTTTAGGAGGCTGAGGCAGGCAGATCATCTGAGGTAAGAAGTTTAAGACCAGCCTGGCGGCATGGTGAAACCCTGTCTCTACAAAAAATACGAAACTTAGCTGGGCATGGTGGTCGGCACCTCTAATCCCACTACTTGGGAGGCTGAAGCAGAAAAATTACTTGAACCTGGGAGGTGGAGGTTGCAGTGAGCTGAGATTGCGCTATTGGACTCCTGGTCTGGGCAACAGAGCCAGACTCCATCTCAAAAAAATAAAAAACAAATAAAGGCCACATGACTCCTAAGTGGGACAACCAGGGCTGCCTGGCATGAAACCCTCATTCCTACACCACAGCTGCTGGTGTCCATCCAGGCCACATGGTTCCCCCGTGCAACACACTTCCCTGAAACTGTCGTTGAGCCCCGCTCCCCAAGCATTATGGCCCTGCACTGAGGCCTGCCCTCCCACTGAAGTGCCTTGGGCTTCAAAATCATCTCAGATTCTCCCCACTTCCTCCTCTCCACAGGAAAACTTCCATTCTCCAAGTGAATCCCTGGAAAACAAGGTCGGGAAAGCAAATTGATCAAACAGCTTCTCCCTGAGGTGGGAGTGCCTGGCCTCCTGCTTCCTAGCCCCATGGGAGTCTACGGGTTAATCCCAGTGATTGCTCTCTTACTAGTCTAATTTCAGGCTGTGAAGGAATAAATTTCAGTAGTTAACTTTCTTTTAAATTGTACCACCTAGGGCCAGACACAGTGTACTTTGATCCCAGCACTTTGAGAGGCTGAGGTGGGTGGATTACAAGGTCAGGAGTTCGAGACCAGCCTGGCCAATATGGTGAAACCCCATCTCTACTTAAAATACAAAAATTAGCCGGGCATGGTGGCAGGTGCCTGTAGTCCCAGCTACTTGGGAGGTTGAGGCAGGAGAATCACTTGAACCCAAGAGGAGATTGCAGTGTGCCAAGATTGTACCACTACACTCCACCATGGGCGACAGAGCAAGACTCCATCTCAAAAAAAATTATACCACCCAGTGGTATAATTGCTAGAGAAGAGCCAGAGAAGACAGGAACATGTATGGCCACTAATGGGCACCATTTCTTCTCTTCTGCTTTGACCACCACCTGTCCTGTGGAAGGAGGCTGGTGGCTCTGGCGTCCCCTCTCCCATGAGCTTCCTGCTAGTGGCCTGGAACCAGACCGACTGCCCCATGAGTTTCCCTTTCCTCGGTGATGGGAATCTAAACGCCAGGGAGGCAAAGGGCAGAGAGCCTATAGAACATGCCAGGATCATGGGCAAATCCCAACCAGGGAAGTAAGGCTCAGCCGGGCATCAGACAGGCTCTTCATCAAGCAGAGCAGCTTGTTCCAGCTTGCTCCTGCTCACCCTGTTCACTGTGGCATTTTCCACGGTGTTGCTTAACTTATGAACACAGCAAAAGTGTGTGTACATAGCCTTCAGTGCAGTGTGTCCTTCAGCCTCTTGTGTGAAGTTGAGGGCATAGTAGGCCGGGGACTCCTGAGGCTTACAGTACAATGAGGGAGGGGAACTCTCAATGATAACTGTTACAGATAAGTGGCCACAAGTGCCCCTGTACCAGATGCCAACAAGGCGCTGCAGGGACTGGGTGTGAACAAATGAATAGCACCCTAGGAGGTGGGATTGGGCCTGCCCTTGAAGAGCCAATAGCATTTCATTCAATACATGGATATGGGAGAGAATGGCCGCACAGTGGCCTGAGGGGGTGGGGAAAGACTTTGAACATTTTTGTGAAGCCACTGAGTTTTTGAACAGTCGGTTTTGACATAGTGCCATGTGCCCATCAGATGAACTTCGTTTTACTTTGTGTTACGTCTCAACAATGACTGAACAATTGCTGGTTTGGAGGTATGTGTTTTTCTATTTATACCAACACATTTTTTTTTAAGATGAAAGTTGAATAACCTGACAGGATTTGAAATGGTATAAGAAAGGTGTAGATCCGTGGCCGAGTGTGGTGGCTCATGCCTGGAATCCCAACACTTTGGGAGGCCAAGGAGGTTGGATCACCTGAGATCAGGAGTTTGAGACCAGCCTGACCAATATGGTGAAACCCTGTCTCTACTAAAAATAGAAAAATTAGCCAGGTATGGTGGCGGGCACCTGTAGTCCCAGCTACTTAGAACGCTGAGACAGGAGAATTCCATGAACCCTGAAGGCGGAAGTTGCAGTGGGCTGCGATCACGCTACTGCACTCCAGCCTCGGCGACAGAGCAGACTCTATCTCAAAAAAAATAAAAAAAGGGTGGGTGTAGACCTGCAAATCTGGAAACTACAGGCTCAGGGAAATCTTTCCATGAATAGGAATTATACTTAACCAATCATACTGGTTTACACAACAATCTTTCCATCGTGTCCTTTCTCTACAAAAGAAAAACTAGGTAGCAAGATTTCATTTCAAACATTTAATTCCTGAAATGTTCCATTTGGGATATTCGATTTCTTCTTTAATTACACATGTAACAGGCATCATATTTTGAGTGTCTTGAAAGTTCAGCCTTTCTGGTAGATAACTAGGGTGTAAAATTAGTTTTTCACTAAGCTCAGTGAAAGTATTTCACATACCAGCTGCTTTCACTGTAGGTGAAGGCAGAGACCTCCGTTCCTGCTGGGCTCCCCTTCCTGGCAAATGCCACGCCTGTGAGGCAGAGTCTGGGCTCATAGGCCCCTACCATGACCCACAGAGGCTATTATCTTTCAAGTCTATGAGTTTGGCCTCAACTCTTCAGTTGAAAAGGAAGATTCAAACAAAAGCTTTGCCAAGACTAAGATGTAGAATAGTGGAGATAGCCATACCTGAGTTTGAACCCCAGCTCTGTCACAAATCACGTGGATAACTTTATTTATTTATTTATTTATTTATTTATTTATTTATTGAGACAGAGTCTTGCTCTATTCCCCATGCTGGAGTGCCGTGGTGTGATCTCGGCTCACTACACGCTCCCCGTCTCGGGTTCAAGTGATTCTCCTGTCTCAACCTCCTGAGTAGCTGGGATTAAGTGCATAAGCCACGCTCGGATCATTTTTGGGTTTACCATGTCGGCCAAGCTGGTCTCGAACTCCCAACCTCAAGTGATCCACCCGTGTTGGCCTCCTAAAGTGCTGGGATTATAGGTGTGAGCCACCATGCCTGGCCACATGTGTGACTTTAAACAAAATTCTTTTTCTTTTTAAACAATGGACAGAAAATTCAAAACTCCCCCACTGCCCAGACACGCACTGGGATGTGGAAGGTAGAGGATAACTTAACTCCACTGAACTCAAATTGCTCAACTGTAAAATGGGGGTAAATAATATTTGTTGAAGCTGTATGAAATAACCAGTGTTCAACTGTTTTGATCTACGATGACGGTTATTTCATTTGGTTCAACCAAATCTTTACCTTACAAGATGATTTATGTAAAGCACCAGGTCATTGGCTATTGAGCACTCAACAAACTGGAGGTCTCACGCCTGCAACAGCCCCCTTCATTAATCATCCCAGAGCTCTCTAAAAGGACTGGGAATCTCTGGCCAACTCATCCCCTGATAGTATAGAATAAGGGAACAGGCTCAAGATCCAATCCAACGCCACGCACTAACTGTGTGGCTTGGGGCAAGTGGTTTAGCTCACTGAGCCTCCATTCTCTCATTATTCAATTAGGATGTTGGTATCTACTTTAAGTCTGCTTTAAGACAGATGAGATAGCGTCTGTGAAGTTTCTAGCAGAGCATCCTGACTCATAACGGGCACTTGATAAATGTTGGTTTTCTCTTCCGTATAAGTGTAATCAATCTTAGGGCCTCTAGGACAAAGTTGAGAACAGCCACTATGTTAATCCAAGATTCCAATTCCTATTTCCAAAAGCAAAAAGCTTTTTATTTACTTATTTATTTAGAGACAATGTCTTACTCTGTTACCCAGATGGTGCAGTGGTATGCGCAATCTCAGCTCACTGCAGCCTCAACCTGCCGGGCTCAAGCAATCCTCCCTTCTCAGCCTCCCAAGTAGCTGGGACTACAGGTGTGCACCACCACATCTAGCTAATTTTTAAAACATTTTTTTTTTTTGAGATGGAGTCTCATTCTGTTGGCCAGGCTGGAGTGCAGTAGCGTGATCTCAGCTCACTGTAACCTCCACCTCCCAGGTTCAAGTAATTCTCTGCCTCCGCCTCCCTAGTAGCTGGGTTTACAGGCGCCAGCCACCACACCAGGCTAATTTTTGTATTTTTAGTAGTGATGGGGTTTCATCATGTTGGCCAGACTGGTCTTTAACTCCCGACCTCATAATCCACCCTCCTCGGCCTCCCAAAGTGCTGGGATTATAGGCATGAGCCACTGCGCCTGGCCTTTTTAAACTTTTTTACAGAGATGAAGTCTCACTATGTTGCCCAGGCTGGTCTTGAACTCCTGAACTCAAGTAATCGTCCTGCTTCAGCCTCCCAAAGTGTTGGGATTATAGGCATGAGCTGTTGCACCTGGCCCCAAAAACCTTTAAAAATAAGCTCTTCTTCATACTTTGTTTTTTTTTGCCAGTGTTAGAATCATATTTTCTAGAACAAGAAGAAACTCTGAGATAATTTCTTCAACCTCATTGTTTGATGAAAGAGATTAATGACTAGAGTCACACAATTAGCGAGGGATAAATGAGGCCCCCTGAATCAGGACTCCTGACTTGTGGGCTACAACTCTTCTTAATGGCACAGATGTCTTATTTGTTTTGAACTCTGCTTAGGGAACACAGAGAAACTTGCAGGGCTTTTAATAAATCTTTGTATATAGTACCCCCAGGAGACAGGGGCTGATTTATTAAAGTTTTTAATACTATT